CAGCCATGCAAACACAACTGCTTCACGGTAGAAACACGAATGGGACAGAGGTACCCAAGCAATCGACTTTTATACAAAATTCCCTCTGAATTCATTGTTTTTAATGAACAGCTGCGAATAGTTTTCAATTAAGGAGAATTATCAATGTTGTGGTCATTTCACAGTTATTTATCTAACGATTTTTTGTAAAAATCTTAACATTATTTTTTTTTAATTTATTATTATTATATTAGCCACTGTCCACTGCTGAACGTAGGTCCCTTCTATAAGGGGGAGGGGAGGGAGTTGGTAACTTCAGTTAGGCTTTGGTGATGTTTAAAGAGTGACGCTACCCATTCCTCGACTATTAAGTTCTCAGTCACCTTTACGACTCCCATGATAATGGAAGGGGTGGTCCATTCTATGCCGGGACCATACGGCATTAATATTAACTTATTGTATTGTATTATAAAATCTTTATTATACATAATTCACATTGGATACATCAAAATATTTTTACTAGCGGCCCGTCCCCGCGTCGCACGGGTGGACATTTTTACATTTTAAAAAGTGGCCATTAAGGCTGCACACGCGACGGAAGCTTAAAAACGGAGCAACTTCTCCCGTTTTCCCAACATTTTCCTTCACTGCTCTGCTACTATTGATCGTAGCGTGATGAAAAGTATACTATAACCTGCCCAGGAGTATGAAGAATAATTGTATCAAGTTTTGTTAAAATCCGTCGAGTAGCTTTTGTTTCTATAACGAACATACAGACATTACATTTTTGGCATCAGTATCGATCACTAATCATCGCCTGATAGTTATTTTGTAAATATATTTCATGTAAAGAATTGACCTCTCTACAGATTTATTATAAGTATAGATAGATTTACTATTTATAAAAATATTGAACGTTTTAAGTAGATTTTTTTAATGTATATATGTATATATAAGATAAACTTTCCTAAATTATGAATGGTATAACGGTGAAAACCGCATAAATTTATGTGGTGTCTTGAGATGAACGCGGTCGTACTGGCCTCGTTGTACACACTTACTTTCCTACCTGCCACTGATAGATTAACCTCATTTAACGATTCGAAATACCCAATAATTCATAATATGGTATTATGCAAACGTGTTACGATTTTTATGGCGTACAATTGGTACATCCGCGTGGTGAAGTAAGAACACAGTGCGTCGACATTCCTTTTCATCCCTCGTGTGACGTCGGAGGAGATTATCAGAACAAATATGAATATGGCAATGCAAATAAAGAAAAAAATGACTTTACAAGGAATATTTGTAATATTTAGAATAGAAAGGAGGAGAAAGAGATTGTTAGTAATGGGGACTGACTTCATTGACATGTCATGTCTCCATAAGTTGGTGAATAATCGCATTGATTGCCCAGAGGGAGCAGAGACTTTGTACAAAAGTCGATTGCTTGGGTACCTCTGTCGCATTCGTGTTTCAACCGTGAAGCAGTTGGGTTTGCATGGCTGTGTTTCGGTTTGAAGGGTGGGATATGGTGTGAATTTACTGGGTACAGAGGAATAATATCTGAGTCCTCAGGAATGGCAACGCGAATTATACGCGGGTATCATGGGCGAAACAGTATACTCTGTTATGTCCATGGTACTGCTCATGTCTATAGGCGACGGTTACCACTTTCCATCAGGTACGCCGTCAGCTTGTTTGCCATTCTAAGTTGTATAAAAAACAAACCTCTATTGGAGAAACTTGAATACAATGTACCTACTAGAGTGCCGCAATCTATTTAAAAAATACAGCTTGCAGAACAAACCTATCGTCCGCATAACGCGTCTGAATAACGATATTGTAAAAACCAAGCCTGAACTTGATATTCACAACGATAGTCACTCTGTGTTCATGGCTAAATTAAAATATTGGTGTACCTCGCCATTACATTATATTTATTTATAATTTATAATAATTTTAATACAATTTCCATTATTTATATTATATTATTATTCATATTGTTCATATCTTTACTCATATAATGACATTTAATAATTTAATTCTATTTTAATGTTTATCAAACACAAGGCTCGCTGTGGTTGCCTATAAATGTAAGAACAATTAGATCTAATCTGCCAGTGTATTGTATTAAAATGTTTCGCTATATCTTATGTTGGTGATCCTATAAATAAATAAATCACAACGGCCACACATCAATCTATTGTGGAATGCTCTCAATCGGCTGTGATCAGAAGTAGATGGAGACGCTTTGACAGGACTTTAATCACGAACGAGGGCCTCATCGACGACCCACTATTATCGTAAAGATCACGACCACTTATTTAAAAGTGTATGAGTGAAGAGAGTAATGGGGTCTGACAGCCCCACTGCGGGGAAAAGGGATTGTTAGTAATGGAGACTGAGAATCCCATTGCTAGCAATATACCCAACCAGGTCGACCTCCTCGCGGTTCTGAAAACTATCATGGTTAATTCCTGATGAATTCATCATGATGGGCTAACTGGCCTGTTTTCATTCTCATCTATCACCCTTCACTGGTGCTCCGCCAGCGTATCCCGTTAGCGCAGGCGGGGTTACCATACCATTTTCACCCATAAAAAAACAGCCCCATTGCTAGCAATATATCCTATCAAGTCGACCTTCACACGGTTTCCCCTGGAAACCATCGTAGTTAATTCTAGCAGAATTGGTTACGATGGGCCAACAGACTTATCGATCATCTCTCACTGGCGTTCCGCCAGCGAATACCAATAGCCGGGGTAGGGTTTTTTTTTGATGGGTGAAAATGGCTATGTGAGGGATGATAAGTAAAGATGAAGCAGGTCAGTTACCCCATCTTGACAAATTCACCAATGAATCAATCACGATGGTTTCCAAGTTGAACCGCGAGGAGGTCGACCTGATAGGGTACATTGCAAGTAATAGGGTTGCTAATCCTTATTACTAACAATCGCTTCCCTCCCATTGCTTACTGTTATACGGCGGGCCGTATAATTGAAAAGGCTTTATTTTAATTAGAGTAAGAAAGGCCCTGGCCGGCAGGGAGACGTGGGCGGCGCGGCGCGTCGTGACGGCACCTGTCGAATAAATCACGTACTCCATGAGAAAACTGTCGGAAGCTCGCGACGCACCTGTTGCTGGCTCGCTTTATGCAGTACCGTGGCTGTGTAGTCGACTGATGTACATAATATGTATTAATCTGTGTATTTTTTTTTCATGTGTGATAATGGAATGGTAACCCCGTCTGCGTTAGCGGAATACGCTGGCGGGGCATCAGTGAAGGGTGATCAATGAGAATGAAAACAGGCCAGTTAGCCCATCATGATGAATTCATCAGTAATTAACCATGATAGTTTCCAGGGGGAACCGCGAGGAGGTTGACCTAGTTGGGTATATTGCTAGCAATGGGATTCTTAATCTCCATTACTGACAATCCCTTTCCCCCCGAATCTGTGTATTGACGACTTCTATATGTAATCAATTCCCACTACTACTATTATAATTGAAAAATTTTGAAGATGTATTTTTTTTTATACAACTTAGAATGGCAAACAAGCTGACGGCCCACCTGATGGAAAGTGGTAACCGTCGCCTATAGACATGAGCAGTACCGTGGACATAACAGAGTATACTGTTATGCCCATGAAACCCTCCATGCTTTGACCACGCCATATCCCACCCTTCAAACCGAAACACAGCCATGCAAACACAACTACTTCACGGTTGAAACACGAATGGGACAGAGGTACTCAAGCAATCGATTTTTGTACAAAGTCTCTCTCTGGTAGATGTATGTTTGTCACTCTTTTAGATTAACATAGAACGCAAGAAAGAAATAAATCAGTTACATATATGTTTGTCCGTGTCCATCGTGTGATAATATATACATATATAAATTATTTTACAGTATGAATATGTCTTATCTATAAATTATCCTAAATGACTATTTTTTATGTTTAAATCTAAGTTTAGTTGAATTAAAATATTTCTTTGCTTCTTTTTTTTCCTATATGTTAGGTTAGGACATAACCTATCTGTATACCAAATTTCAATCAAAACCGTTCAGTAGTTTTTGCGTGATAAAGTAACAAACATCCATTCATTCGTCTTTGCAAACTTTTGTATCTATAATATTAATAGATACAATAGTTTGTTGAAATATAAATATTTGTTAATTTGTTTGTTAGCTATCATCGGGCACTTTAATGGATCAAGTATTTGTCATGACCTTTGGTATTACTAGCTTATTATCCGTTCACGCTAATCTCTGAAACTGCTTAATCGATTTTAATGAAATTTTGTTAATGTATATGGTTTTCTCCAATTGAAGATATAGGATAGTTTTCAGGTCCCGATAAAACTGGGTCCGCTAGATGGCGCTAGGCGGCAACATAACGTTTGTCAGGTTAATCAATAATGTATAAAAATAAAAATAGCATAGCACAAACAGCTGAAATGAACAATCTTATTTTAGAATTTTAATAGTATATTCGCTGCCTTACTTTTTTTTATACTACTTAGAATGGCAAACAAGCTGACGGCCCACTTGATGGAAAGTGGTAACCGTCGCCTATAAACATGAGCAGTACCATGGACGTAACAGAGTATACTGTTTCGCCCATGATACCTCCCATGCGTTGCCATTCCTGAGGACTTAGGTGTTATTCCTCTGTACCCAGTAAATTCACGCCATAATCCACCCTTCAAACTGAAACATAGCCATGCAAATACACCTGCTTCACGGTTGAAACACGAATGGGACAGAGGTACCCAAGCAACTGACTTTTGTATAGTCTCCCCCTATTTGCCTTATACTGAGTGGTAACGAATGTAGGTGTAAAGTCAACCATATGTACACTAACTCATATATTTGTGCATTAAAATTTAAATATATAAAATAAATGAACAGCCTTATCTTTTTTAAGTCGGTAGATGAATGTGCCTTCTTGCATACCCCCGTCCGGAAGCTTTCACGGCGTCTGAGCCGAGCTTCACTGGCCACATTGTGAGTTGGTACCGCGCGCTCCGCACGTATCACGCATCGCTCGCTCGCTGTCCGGCGGAGGTGGACTCTATCACGCGGACTTAAAGTCTATACTGCAGTGCTGTGTTGTGGATACACTGTGTTGTGATTGTGCATTCTAATTGGGATTTTTTATTCATTTTCAATTCCGTAAGTATCATTAATATTATATTTATTTTTTGAATTATATAAATCAAGTAAATAGTGGACTAGAAAATCAATATGAAAACAGTAGACAGAATTCAAATATCAGGGATGAAGACTTAAAAAAAATTAAATATAATGTAAGACCAAACCGTTTTTAAAAAAAAGCGTTCACGCTCACTTTTTTACTTTATCCGAGCAGTAAGTGCTTTATATTATTCTCAATTTCGTGTATAATATATTATAGTATATATCATATATGTGTAAGTATATTTGTTATTTATATATATTTATTCGTTTATATATGTAATTTTCGTATGTATGTATATCAATAATTACTAGTACTGCATTCGAGTATTCTGACACTTCCCTACGGTTGACTGGGAGAGAATGCTTTTAGCATTAAGTCCGCCATGTACACATATTTGTACTGATGAATAAATAAATAAATAAAGTATTTCAAAAATTTTAGTATGTAGTTTATTGACAAAATTGTCTTTAATTATTATAGTACTAGTAGAAGTAAAAAAATTAGTAAAAAAATTATAATATAATTCAAGACAAAAAATATCGACTTCAGTTGTTGCAAAGCTAGTTAATTTCAAAATTTAATTATTTAATCGATTTTGTCAACATATAATAATGATCCTGTTAGACAGTCTAACTACTGTACAGGTACTTTGAAATGGCGATTATAAAAAAACTTCACTTTAAATACTAGTAAGTTATTTTGGTTATTATTCTTTGCAATCAGAAAAGAAAAAACATGTAGATAGATAGATAATTTATTTGCATTACTTACAGCACACAAACACACATAGATGTCCAGTGAAAAAATGTAAAAGAATACATATACAAAAAATAAAAATGCATAAAATAAGCAACAATTTCTTCCTTCATGCTTGTGCATAACAATCTTGATGACCACCATAAAATACTTCCCAAAACATATAACCCTCTTGTGTAGGAGGGTCGGTAAAAATAACATAACAAGTAAAGCCGTTTATCCCCATTGAAATTACCATAGACTCTACGAGGGATTTACAGGACTGTGAAGGTTCGATATAAATCGCCCCTCGTAAAATACTTTCACAAAAGCCGGTTATATTGGTAACATTATCCTGGGTTATCCCGGTTCTAGTTTATGGACAACACTGGATATTGTATCGTATTGTTGTATTGTAAAATCATTATTGTAGCATAATTTAAATTGGACATTTTAAAAGATTTAATATACAATGGCGGACTTATCCCATAGAGGGATCTCTTACAGTCAACACTTGAGAAGTTGAAAGAAAACTATAGAATGTTTAAGGGTAAAAACCGTACAGCTATAGATAAACTCAATAATATCTAGTTTAAATTAAACATATAATACAATAAAAAGATACTGTATACACCTAAGTATGTATATAATAATAATAATACATAAATAATATAATAACATTAATATATAAATAATAAAAAATAAACTTATACATATCAATACATAGCAACATAGAAACATATATTCACAATTTGGTTCAATGAAGTAGAAATTTTAAAATAAAATTTTAAGATACCTGCTTTAAAGGATTATATAATGTTTGTGTCATCTTCAAGTTATTAACAACCAAAATAAAAGAATTATTTTATTATACAACTTAGAATGGCAAACAAGCTGACGGCCCACCTGATGGAAAGTGGTAACCGTTGCCTATAGACATGAGCAGTACCATGGATACAAAAGAGTATACTGTTTCGCCCATGATACCCCCATGCGTTGCCATTCCTGAGAACTCAGGTGTTATTCCTCTGTACCCAGTAAATTCACGCCATATCCCACCCTTCAAACCGAAACACAGCCATGCAAACACAACTGCTTCACGGTAGAAACACGAATGGGACAGAGGTACCCAAGCAATCGACTTTAGCAATATGCTCACGACCATTATATACGGTGATGTAATCAGAAATATGGATTCACTAACAGCTGTTGAGTGTGATATTTGACTATTAAAATTTTATCCTTATGAAATGTCTTTGTTATTTAGCTCTTTAATGACTTAACTTAATCACCAAATATACTATATACTATGTATGTGGGCTTCCGCTGAAAATCAGCGCTGTAACTCCTTGACTGCAGCATAATGTTGAGAGGGTTTTTCTTATTCTGGTCACGTGGATGAAATCTCAAATAAAAATATTATTATGCAATCCGAAATTTTTCATTTACAAAGATATTGTGTCAAAAACATACAAAAAATAAGACTTGAGAATCTACCAGAGGGAGATTTTGTACAAAAGTCGTTTGCTTGGGCACCTCTGTTCCATTCGTGTTTTTACCATGAAGCAGTTGTGTTCGCATGGCTGTGTTTCGGTTTGAAGGGTGAGATATGGCAGTGAATTTACAGGGTACAGAGGAATAACACCCAAGTCCTCAGGAATGGCAACGCATGGGGGGTATCATGGGCGAAACAGTATACTCTGTTAAGTTCATGATACTACTCATGTGCATAGGCGACGGTTACCACTCTCCATATGGGCCGTCAGCTTGTTTGCCATTCTAAGTTGCATAAAACAAATCTTGTTCTTTTGTAAGTTGTTTATTATAATCTAGGACAGAATGTTAAGAGTAGGTGTACCTATTCACTTAGACTATAGAAGATTAATTTTGACATGGGCGGGCTCTTATTATAACGCCTCATATCGCAAATACAAGAATAGAGACGAATTGACAATATTTTTTTTTTATAAATTTTTATTCAACTAGCAATGTTTATATTGTATCTGCCATCTGTATAATTCAGGTATTTTATGTCTAGACCATAGATTATGTAGATTAAAATCATTCTATCTTTCCAATTTAGTTTAAATATAAAAATGATTAGAGGACTGTCATCATTGTGTTCTCTTGTATTTGATATTTATATGTTGTATTTAACGTGTATATATATATATATATATATGTGTGTGTGCGTATGTATGTATGTATGTATGTGTATGTGTGTGTATGTATATGTGTGTATGTATGTGTGTGTATATATGCATAAATATAATGATTTATAATTTATGTAAATATTTATTTTAATTTCTGTCTTGCACTACTACTGCCCACTCACTACTTCCTATGCCACTGCGTTAGGTTGACTGGAAGAAATCTCTTTTAGAGATAAGTTCGCCTTTGCTAACATTGTTATTAACTTATTGTTGTTACTGTATGTTTTAGTGCAATAAAGAATATATATATATATATATATATATATATATATATATATATATATATATATATATATATATATATTGAGCATCGAACATCGAGTCTCAAAAAGTGTTTTTTATCGGTGTTCTAAATACTTACGCATAAAATGTATCTTGATGTATAAGTAAAATGAGTATTTACGCATTAAAAAGATGCAAAAATTACAATACAAAATAAATATAGAAGTTTTTTTTTTATACTACTGAGGTGGCAAATAAGCATACGGCCCACCTGATGGTAAGTGGTTACCGTAGCCTATGAACGCCTGCAATACTAGAGGTATTACGCGCGCGTTGCCGTTATAAAGGAATCACTCATAACTATTTATCACGCAAAGTTGTATGAAAAAGTTGACACGTTTTTTTTTTAAGCATTTCCATGCGGACTATCTATATAATCTCAGGTCTAACAATGTATAGAATACTTGGGCTATCCAGGTAATGCAGGAAATAATATGTCCATTACATATTCCTGATTATATTTCTCTTACACGGTTTAAGACATCTATTTCTCTAAAGATTTACATAAATCACTTAAATGAGAAATTTAAATCTATGGGCATGCACTTAATATCTACTGTTAGCGAGCGTAATTTATCAAACATCAAATAAAAATAAAACGTAAAGTGAAACTACCTTCATTTTATAAAAAATAATATTCTCTTATGTTAGTTATTAAGCAGCAATTCGATTAAACTGGGGGGAAAGGGATTGTTAGTAATGGAGGTGATTAGACCCATTGCTAACAATAAATCCTATCAGGTCGACCTCCACGCGGTTCCCCCTGGAAACCATCGTGATTAAATTTAGTGTATTTCATCACGATGGGCTAACTGGCCTGCTTTCATTGTCACCTATCATCCTTCACTGGTGCTCCGCCAGCGTATCCCGTTAGCGCAGGCGGGGTTACCATTCCATTTTCATCCATCAAAAAAAAATTCGATTAAACTTATGTGATAATTACGAGGGTTTTGCCAGTAGTTGCCACGCCTGGCAGGAGGGTTTACAACCACAGTTTGGCTTTTGGTGATGATTTAAGAGGGACGTTGCTGTCCATTCCTCGATTATTAAATTCCCTTAGTCGCCTCTTACGACACCCATGGGAAAGGAAGGGCCTAATCTATGCTGGGACCATATAGCATACAAATAAACTTTTTATTTTATTTTTAAGGGCTTTTACCTTCTTTTTTTATGCTACTTAGAATGGCAAACAAGCTGACGATCCACCTGGTGGAAAGTGGTAACCGTCGCCTATAGACATGAGCAGTATCATGGACATAACAGAGTATACTGTTTCGCCTATGATATCCCCCCTGCGTTGCCATTCCTGAGGACTCAGGTGTATTCCTCTGTACCCTGTAAATTCAATGTCATATCTCACCCTTCAAACCGAAACACAGCCATGCAAACACAGCTGCTTCACGGTTGAAACATGAATGGGCAGAGGCACCCAAGCAATCGACTTTTGTACAAAGTCTCCCTCTTCTTCAGGTATAACAGCTCTATCATACTCTGAATTGACTTCTCGTATAAAGTTTTGTCTTCTTTCCTTATTCAAGGAAAGAGAGGAATGAATGGGTATAAATAATCGGTTCAATTCCGAATTGAGTTCAGCTAATATAGATTGAATAAGACCAAACTTAAAAGTGGGTGGAAAAAAACCAGCGATAAAATGCAAGTTTATTATGAAATTGTAACATCGTGTTTAGTAGTTTTATAAAACACATTAGCATAGTTTCCAATCGAATATTAGCAATACATTTAAT